CCTGTGGGCTCAGTTTGTTTCTGGGGTGCTGAGGCCACACCCACCCTGCCCAGGGTCTCTCCTCACAGACGTGGGGAACCGTGTGCCATGCCAGGGACTGAACCTGGGTCGGAGTGTGCAAGGCAAGCACCTGCCCGCTCCAGTGGGTTCTGAGTCCATAAATGACTGGGTAACAGAGACAGGGAGAAGGAACCTAGCCCTGGAGGGAAGGACCATGGGGAGGTGGCGTAACCCTCGCCCCACAGCGTGGGCTGTGCGTGCCCCCGAATACATTGGGAAAGAGGGGTGATGACCCTGACCATGTTGAACCCTGAAACGCAGGCTTGGGAACTTCGACCAGCGGGGTCAGTCCACTGGAATATGCCCGTGTGGTCTAAGGGGTAACCCCATGACACCCCGTATTTCTGCCAGCAGCCCAAACTCACACAAGGCACACGGCGGAGGAGAGGGAATATCTGATCAATGCAGACTGTGGGTCACTCTACAAAAACTCAACCCGTCCTTCCTTTACAAAGGTCCCCCAAGCCAAGGAAAGGGTGAGTAATGATGCCAGCCAGAAGGAGGAGGCAAGGAAATGTGACAAAGCCTGAATTTGGCGGGAGCAGGGGAAGGGAGAGACGGGGAGGAGAGCGCGGACTTCTGGAATAGTAAAAGGACTGTAGGTAAGAGCTCAGTAGACTGGAATCAAGTAGGAACTTCAGATAATAATGATGCATTGATATGTTCCTGAGTTGTGACAAATGTTCCTGTAATCACGCTAATGAGAGGGGAAAGAGGGTTCAGGGAATATGAAATCTGCCTCTAATAATCCTATAATTATTCTGTGCTCTAAAACTCTCCTAAAATTAAGTTTATTAATCGTGTAAAGCAAACAAACACACACCACACACACACACACACACCACACACACACACCACACACACACACACACACACGATGCCCAAATGCAGCTGACAAAATTCAACATCTTTTCCTGATAAAAAAAAATCTCGCAGGGAGCCAGGAAAAACACACTCTCTCCTTAAACTGACGGCAGAAAGACTCAGGTTCAAGGTTCTCAAGGGCGAACCCTGGCACCCGGGAGGGAGACGCCTCTTTCTACTGGCTTTGCCTTCCAAAGACATGGCTGGGGTGGCATCCCTGGGCTACCGTGGCAGGAAACCCTTCCCTCTGCTCATCTTTCTCACTGAACACCAGGTGGCTTACACCCCGAATGCACCCAGGTTCAGGCTTGGTGGCAGCCACACGTCTGTGGAAACCACAGACAACCTCCCCCCGTCTCCCGCCCCAGACCCTCCCAATTAAGGCACCCGCTGGGGTCCGCTGCACACTCAGACCCAGGCTCTGCTACAGTGAGATGGTGATACCCTCTCAGTCCCTGAAGGCTGTGGCATCCCCCAGAAAGGGTCTGGGGCCATATGAAGGATCGGGGCTTCCCTGCTGGCGGGGCTCACCTAGGGTCTCTGACCCTCTCCTGGAGGTTGTGGAGGCGCCACTTCCCCTTTCCTAGGGGACCCTTGAGGTCAGTTCGGGCCAGCCGGGCAGGGGGGAGGCTGCCCGAGGCTGAGCACTGCACCTTCTCCCAGGCTGACTGTGGGAGGCATTGCATTGGGATCTCCTCCCAGGCCACTTTGACTTGGGGCGCACAAGAGGGGTCAGCACACCTCTCCGTCTGGCACACCCTTGGGACGGCTGCTGGCCGGGCAGGCTGCCTGGCCAGTCCCTCCTCCAGTACCACCCTGTTCTGGGCAGTGGGAGTCGGGTGCCGGGGCGACAGCCAGTGAATGAAGGGTGCTGATTCCGGAAGGCTCAGTGACCTCCGAGGTGCAGCAAGTAACCAAGGAGCTGTTTAGGGCACAGGGGCATACTAAAGATGAGGGAGGAGCAGGGCAAGGCCGCAGAGTGGCGACCAGGGGTGACAGGGCCAAGACTCCGAGACTCTTCCCATTCCAGTGACCACGCCCCGGAGAGGCCTGCCCTCAACCCTCCAACACAGAGATCCTCCCCCCACCCCGTTGGCGGACAGCAGGGATAAACGCGCCGTGGGGTGGTGCATGCATGCCTGTGGAGCAGGGTGTGTGGTGTGTGGGGTCCACGCGGGGCTATCCCCACCCAGGGCCGTGGTCTCCTATTCCAGCCTGCACCCAGCTGGCCGACTGACCGCTGACTCCAGAACTGCTCCCCCTGGTGGAGGGGTAGGGGAAAGTAGCCAGGCACCACCAGGGCAGCACTCCTGCAGGACATCTGCACCATCAGGGAATTGTCAAGGACCCCAGCCGGGCGGGGGGGGGGGGGGGGCGGGGCACGGAACCCAGGAAATCTATCAGACCCTCTCTTTGTCTCCAAACGCCTCGCGGAGCCCCCCAGAAGCGGTACTGAGGGAACCCCAAATTCCCCACTCCCAGCGAGAAGAGAGAGAGCGTGATTTCAATTAAGGGCCCCCACTGTCAAAACCATCAAGCTATTAATCTCCTCATGGCAAATGTGAACCGGGACCTGCTTACACAGCCAATTGAGCATGCTCTAAATGAGTATGTGCAGGTAATTGATTCGGCTGCCAGCCCCGTGCCAGCCGCTACAAGCTGGTTCCGCCACGAGCATTAAATAATTCGAGGCGCTAAAATGGACGGCCTGACGGGGCCGGCAGTCAGCGGCTGTTAGCGCTCCATTTACCCAAACGCGCACGTCTTATTGGTCTAACACAATTTACTGCGGCTCAATTGTGGAAAATGATTTTCATTTCCTCTGAAACCCCGCTCAGGGCACAGCACACAGAAGGGGTGTCTTCATACACGCCATCAGAGCGCTGACTGTTTTTTTTTTCTTTTTTTTTTAACGCGCCCTCCAGACTTGAAGAGACCTCTGACATTAAAGCCAAAGGGAGGGGCTGGAGCAACAGCACAGGGGTAGGGCGTTTGCCTTGCACGCGGCCAACCCGGGTTCGATTCCCAGCATCCCATATGGTCCACTGAGCACCGCTAGGGGTAATTCCTGAGTGCAGAGCCAGGAATAATCCCTGTGCATCACCGGGTGTGACCCAAAAAGCAAAAAAGAAAAATAAAAAGCCAGAGGGAAAGGACCAGACGAGAAACTGGCCAAGAAGCTGGTCCCCGGAAGGCGTGTCAGGGGCATGGACACACCCAGGGTGGGGCGAGTTCGCCCCTGAAAGGAATCAGTCCCACCCTCTCCCCACCCACCCCTAGGCCCCGTGTGCCTGCTGCCCCCTGAGGATTCAATGCGCGCCTGGTACTGACCCTGTGTGGAAGCCACACCCTGGTCTAGCAGCACCCGCTTTAAATACAACGGCCCCAGCTTCTAGGAGGCCCAACACGGAAGCACAGGGCAGCCCTCCTCTCTCCCTTCCCTCTAACCCTCTCTCTGTTTTCTCTTTCCCTCTCTTCCTCCTCCCCATTCCTCTTCCACTTCCCTCTCCCCCTCTCCTCCCTCTTCCCCTCAGGGTTTCCTCAGAACCCTGAGCCCCTACCCTCCACAAACACCTAAGCCTCGAATGTGCCACCGGCTGCCAGAGTTGAGCGTAGTCTGGGCACGGGGTAGGAGCCCCAGACGCCCACTGGTCTCCAGAGCTCCAGCGTGGGGGGTCACCAGACTCGGCTCTGCTGACCTGCTGGGGTCGCTCATGGAGCTCAGAGACTTCCCCTGCACCATTACTATGAACAACAGCTGCCAGGCAGGAGAGCCAGAGGCTCCGATGCAAGGGTAGGGGGCAGGGAGGTGCCCCTGGGAGGGCTGGCTGGCACCTCTGCCCCTGCACCCACCTGGGCTCCGGGGCTTTGGAGCTATAGGGAGCCTTGAGTCAGTGAGATGGATTACAAGGCCAGCAGGAACCGAGCCTCTGCCCCTGGCCTCTCCCTAGACACCCTCCCCAAACCATGCGGCTGGCTCCTCCAGCAACCAGCACCCCCAACCGTCACCCTAACCCCAAGCTGGAAGGAGAGTCCATCCTCGCACCTGCTGGGCATGCTCTCGGGAGTGCAGGGGTTCCGAGCTCCATCCTGAAACCGGCACAGTGGGGAGGGCGCTTGCCCTGCACGTGGCCAACCTGAGTTCAGTCCCCGGAATCCCATATGGAACCCCGAGTCCTGCCAGGAGGGATCCCTGATTGCAGAGCCAGGAGTAAGCCCTGAGCATCGCCAGGTGTGGGCAGAAAACAAACCAAAGGAAACAGTACCCTGCACTTCCGTGTGTGTGTGTGTGTGTGTGTGTGTGTGTGTGTGTGAGAGAGAGAGAGAGAGAGAGAGAGAGAGAGAGAGAGAGAGAGGTCAACCCCCTACTACACCGTGTGTGTGTGTGTGTGTGTGTGTGTGTGTGTGTGTGTGTGTGATGTCAGCCTCTTAGTGCTCCCCAGGGCAGACAGGCTCTTGTGGGAAGTCCTGAAGTGGGGGCCTCCTGGCAGGAGGGGAGCCACAGGGGCAGAGCAGATTGGACCCCAAGGGTACCCTCAGGCCCCGTCAGGCTGACCTCAGGTCCCTCAAGCAGTAAGGAGTTGGGAAGAGCCCGGGCAGCGCCAGCTCCCTGCAGGCCTGTTTGGAGTTGAAGGCCCAGGGAGCTTCTGGAAGGCTTTACAAGCCACTTAGCTATCCCTGGACCCAGTCATCCAGCACCGCAGACATAATGACTGTGTTACACCAAAAAATGGCAGCCGCGTCGTGAGCGGCTTTCCAAGGCACAATAGCAGCTATTTGGTCAAGTACCCTGCAAATTGCAGACATGATGCCCAAGAGGTGGAAGACGGGACAGGGAACACCGCACAAAAGACTCTGATCCACCCATGGTGAACTCTGTGTGAGAGCAGAGCTCGCGGCCGCAGGTGGAAGGAACGACCCCCCACCCCGGCCCTATTTGCCTGAGATCTTCGGGGCCCCACCAAGCATCCCCACAACCTGCTGGGCTCGGAGCCACCTCATCTGTCATTCGCTCAAGGCACATCAATTCCCGGTTTTTACATTTTAATCTTCCCCCAGAGAAACACCGCACTTACCTTTCCATCTCATACTCCTTCATCCCCACCTTCACGGCCTTCATTACCTGCAGGATGGATAGGAAGCACAGAGGGATGAGCGGGGTAAGGAACTAATGAAGAGCACTTTCTCTAAAGAGCCTCTTCCTTCTAAAAAAAAAGGAAAAAAAAACCCAACAACAGCAAAGAGTAATGCGTGTGCTCGGTGGAGCACAACTGTGACAAACAAGGACATGCTGGGAGCTCTGGAGGCAGGGCTGTCCAGGGCAGCTGGACACGTCCAGGACAGCTGGGTATGCCCAGGATAGCCGGGAGCGGCTCCATGCCTGAGGTGGCCACACTGCCCGAGACCATAGCAGAAAGGGTCTCTTTAACTTGCAGCCAACTCAGAAAGGGGGAATCTGGTGGCAGAGTCGGGGAGAGAATCACAGGACGGCTTTTGGGAATAATCAGATGGCCTGTGCCTGTGTCATGGCTTGGGGATAAAAGGTTCCTTCAAGGGGCTGGAGCAATAGCACAGCGGGTAGGGCGTTTGCCTTGCACGCGGCCAACCCAGGTTCGATTCCCAGCATCCCATATGGTCCCCTGAGCACTGACAGGGGTGATTCCTGAGTGCAGAGCCAGGAGTAACCCTTGAGCATCGCCGGGTGTGAGCCAAAAAGGGGGAAAAATGGTTCCTTCAAGGAGCCAGACCTGCAGGGACACCAGCATTCTTGGGGGTGCAGGGTCACCCAGAGGCTAAACTGGGGCAGCGTCTCCCCGTCCCCGTGGCCTCAGCCTCGTTCCTGGCAGGGCTCAGGGCCATCACTGTATCTCTGGGCACAGCAAACTTCCTCCTGCCCCATCCCGCCCACCCACAGAGCCAGCAGCTTGCCCATCCTGCCCAGGCCCGCTGACCTCCCGGTGGGCCTCGCTGGAGATCTTATTGGTGTAGCGCAGAACCTCCAGCTCCATGTCCGTCTTGAAGACCCGGCTGCAGAGGAGAGAGACAAGGCAGCAGTCAGCGGTTTGCCCGCGGTGGTGGGGCACCCCTTGCCAGGGAGACCTCAGGGACTGCCGTGCTCTGCAGTCCTTGGGAAGGTGCACAGGGCTGGGGTGGGGGTGGGGCTGCCCAGCCAGACTGGAACAAGCAGCCCGGGGTTGGGGGCTGAAGCACTGCCTCACCTGACCCAGAGCTAGCTAAGGTGCGTAGTGGGGCACACTAGCTATTTTCGCTTCTGAAGTAAGAAGCAGAGACTGTACCAAACACCCTTTCTTCCAGAGGCTCAGCTGCCTCATCCATGAAATGGGGTTGCAGCTCCCAGGCACGGAGGGTGGGCCTGAATGTGACACGGGCTGACTCCCAGGGCCCGCTGAGCTAGCTAGCTGGGTCCCACCACCCCCCCCCCCCCCTGCCCCGCACCACCATCTCCTGCCCAGGGGCCGGAGCAGCAGGGCAGGGCCGCCACCAATATTGGGGGGGGAAGAGGAAGGGGTGGACAGGGGCCCTCGCAGAAGCCCCAGTGCAAGTAGGTGTGTGCGCAGGCCAGGAGAGAGGAAGAGAGAGACAGGGTTATTAAGCGAACACCCGGCTGTGCTTCCAGCCTCTGCAGCCCAGGGCGTCCCTCAAGCTCAGCTAGTTTCTGCTCTTCACAATCACCATGACTCATTTCCAGCACTCCCACTTCCTGCTCATGCCATGGGGGCAGGAGCCGCATCCAAGGGCAGCCCAGCCCCCCCCCCCCCCGGGGCGGGGGCACTCAACTCCATGCACACAGGGGCCATCCACCCCTGGTACCTGGAGTCCAGCAAGGTAAACCCCTGCCCTGCGCCTCCTGCAGCCACACCTGCCACCCTGCCTGAGGGTCACCCCCCCACCCGATAGCCCACTCTGGGCTGTCCATCAGGCCACACCCCAGAGACAGCCAGGACTGACACCCACCTCCTTCCCAAGGCCTGCAAGCCACGGGGCCACTTGGGCACAGGCAGCCTGACCACACCACCCTGTGTCCACCCTTCCCAGGGCTTCTGCTTGTCTCAGGGGACCCGAGCCCCACAGGGAGACCCCCACTCCCACTTTTCTCAGGCTCAGCCCCGGCACCCCCACAAGCCAACTCCTCCGCCTGGAGCTGACTCCTGCCCCCGTCCAACCTGCCCTTTCTCAGAGAAGGGCCTCCCCCGCACCCCCACACAGCCTGGACCCATCTCCAAATCACCAGGGAGTGGCCAGCCAAGTCTTTTATCACTTGCGGGTCCCCCCCAGCGGGTGGTGCCCTGGAGACCCCCAGGGGCCAGTGATGCTCCTTCCAGGCGAGGTTCCCATCCAACTGGTCTGGGAGCCAGAGGGCAAATGACGTGTGTGGCCCTGCCCTGGGTACCAGGGGGCAGCCTGAGCAGCCCCCAGAGCAGAGAGTCGGGGCGCCACCCCCCCCCAAGTGCCGAGGCCCGTGAGGACAAACTAGGCCTTTGGCTGGCTGACTTAGGACTTTCTTTTTTAAGGTACATTTAAAAAAAAATAGACAAATCTAATGGAACCAGGGCAAATGGTCCCATGACGCAGCTCTGCGCATCCTCCAGGCCGGGGCCCTGTGGACAGTGGCCATGTACGGCTTCCCGGCCTATGTGGGCAACTCAGCGTCCAGCCTGCCTGGTGGGCTCCTGAAGAGACAGCACACCATAGGGGACCCCCAACACCCTGAACTCCAAGGCAGCACCATCCACTCCTCCGGAGCGCCATGAGGCCAGGAGCAGAGCTTCAGCAAGGGGCAGCCACTAGGGAGAGAGCAGCTAGCGTCTGCTGGCCTCAAGGCCTATTCCCAGGAGAGGTCCTAGGCTCTGAGCAGCTATAGGTGCAAGGCAGTGGGTACCCCACCCACAGGGACCACCACACTGAGGGGACAGTCCATGGAGAAAAGGCACCAGGGCCATCCACGAAGGCTCTTCCCCAGACCAGTCTCTGCTCCAGGCCCGAAACGACAAAAATGGGACCAAGCTGAGATTTATTTGTGCAATCTTTTTTTTTCCCCCGTTAAATATTCACAGGTCACAAAACTGCCTGTGGGCAATAAAGCCGGGATTGAGCCATCAATTAAGGGAGGCCTGAGTGCTTCACTGATTAAAACAGGGGCCAGACAGGATGACGCATTTCCAAAATCAGTCTCTAAGTATCCGAGTGCCACAGTGTTGAACAGAACCCATTTGGAGTGACGGGAGCGCCATCCCTCCTGGAGACGGATGTGCTGGGAAGGTTCTGTGGGAGCAGGTGGGTCTGGGTGGGGGTGGGGTTTGGGGATCAGGACCACAGGGTGCCAAGACACGTGCCCAGGACATGACCAGGTGGGGGGACCCTCACCTAGGCCCAGGGCACCCACCCATCTTCCTGTCTTCCAGAGCAGCATTTCTCAACTAGGGGGGTTTATGCCAACTCCCCACTAGGGGGCTCCAGGATACTCCAGGGGGGCCACACATGAAATTCACATCCAGGCAGCCAGACTGAGGAGGCCTATAGGCCAGACAGGGGGTTGAAGCTGGGGGCACGGGAAGGAAATAAGGTCCACGTGGGCAACCACATGGGGAAGGTGAGAAATGCTATTTGGGGGGCACCGTGAGTCACAATCCCCCTTGACTTTGGGTCTTCTTGATTCTGGTCCCATATGTACCAGCAGACAAATAGACCTCGGGGAATACCTCCAGTGTCCGCTCCCAGGAATCTAGGCCATCAACTGTGTCCTTTGTCTAATTTGGGATTCGAGAAGCAGGATACAGGAGCTTCTGTTCCCTCAGACCTCTTGCACCCGGCAGGGGCTGGGGAGGGGGCCCGCCGGGCCACACGTGGGACACCTCCGCCACCATGGAATTAACGACTCTATAACTGGCCTGTGACTCAATTTCGCACCGTTGCACTACAAGTCCGAGAAGGGCGACAGGGGTGACTGTGAGTGGGTCTGTTCTGTGACGTGTCTGGGGGTGCTCCCCCGAACTCCCGCGGCGAGAGAGCCAGCCTCCTGCCGTCTTCTTCCCCTCCACATCAGTCCTGGTGGCGTCCGCAGCCCCCCGCCGTGTGCGGGCCAGGCGCCAGGCAGCACAGCCGCTCTTATTAAGTTTCAACTTTTGACCTCCTCTGTCAAACTGCAATCCCCGGCAAGCAGCGAGGAAATTATCAGTTATGATCTCATGTTTGTAGGGAAGAGTATGATTACAGAGGAATTTACAGGAAATCAAAAAGGCAATGCTGGAGAGAATGGAAAACAATAAAGCCGTCTCAGAGAGGAAATGAACGACAGGCACGGAGGGGTGTGCGCGGAGAGAGGGAGCCAGCGGCCTCCCCTCCCTCCCCGTTAGGTGGGGTCTGGGGGGCGGGGGGGGACCCCGAACACAGGGCTGGGTGGCAGCTGCACAGCTCCCGGTGTCCCTACAGTCCATGCTAGGGGCTGCTGGTGTGAGCGGTCAGGCGGGCATGCAGGCAGGCCCTGCAGCTCGGGGTACCCCACCAGGGCCCCAGAGCAGTGGGCAGGCCACTAACCTCCCTGCCTCCCTGCCTTCCTCCGTGGCCTGGGAAAGGCCAGCACACCGGGCTCAGGACGGGGAACCCAAACCAGAGGGTGTGCCACAAGGGCTCCACTCCCTGCCTTGCACACAGGAGGCCACGGAGGCTGCCACGGTGCTGCCCACTTGGCCTGAGGTCCCTATCCAGGGGCACTGCCTTGACTCAGCAGGCGAGAAGCCCTCTAAAACATGCAGAGGGACATGGAATCTCCCAGGGGCTGGACTTGGGGGTGGGTCCTCAGGAAGCAACTAGGACATGGGGGGGGGGGGGCATTAAAAAGTCTGGGGAGGAGGCCAGAGCAATAGTACCACAGGGGAGGACGTTTGCCTTGCGAGCGGCCGACCCAGGTTCGATCCCGGCTCCCCATATGGTCTCCCAAGCCCCACCAGGAGTAACTTCTGAGCATCGCCAGAAAAACAAAAAGTCCTGGGGAGCGCCTACCCTTACCCCTGCCCCTCCAGATAAGGTCAGGTGAGATGGGGTGCCTTACAGACACGCCTGGTCAAGGGCTTTGCACGACAATGGCCAGGGTGCTTTCTGCTGTGTCTCGGTATCCACAGGATTGAAAGGTCTCAGGGTCCTGCGGATCTCTGTTCACACACTGTGTCTCTGCACCCCTGTCTACCGTGAAGCCCAAAGGCATCCCTAGGGGGCGCCAGGTAGGATGAGAATTTGGAAATGTCCAGTGGCTGGGTGCTGTTACAGTGACGAGCAGAGAGGATCTTAAGAGCATCCAGGATCAGGGGGTCCATGGAGCTCCATGGGCCTCGTCTGACATCATGAAAGGGGCATGGAACATCCTGCACACACCCCCCATCACTGCCATGTTCCCCAGCACCACCCCATCCCCCATGAGCCCCCCCAAACCCCCTTCTCGCCCCACTTGAAGTTTCCAGCACCCTAGGGACACAGTCACATCACAGGCACTGCCTGCTGACATTCCTCCCACCCCACCCCACCTCCCCGTGAAGCTGGGAGCTGCATCTCAGTCTCAGGACTGTCCCAGAATTAGGGTATGTTTATTCCAGTGGGTGGGGGACCAAGGTGGGGGTCACTGGCCTCTCCCTCTCACTGGCCACACCTAGCCCTAGCTCCAGTGCCCCATGAGCAGTCCCAAGGGACTGTCACACGCAGAACAGGGACAAGTCCACAGAGGTGCCAGGATGGAGTCCTCAGTCAACCAACCAGGGCTATAAGAAGGAAGTGTGAGCTCACAAATCTATCACAGGCAACCGTGAGCCAGAAGGATGGGGCTGACCCAACGCCCTCACGTCTTCTCTGTCTCCCATCAGCACCCCTCTACCCTCCCCCACATACACACACATACACACCCACAACCCCAAGCCAGTCACCGCCCCACACCCCATTTCAGCCACACATCAGCGACTGCCCCCACCGGACAAACAGATTCACCCGCCACCTGGTCATCACGGCCAGGTCCTCCTTTGGCTGCCTACCTCCTGCCACCCGGACCCCATGACAGCCTTCGAGTTGGCACCTGGCCCCACCCTTGGCCTGCATTCGGGTCTCAGGCCTCAGGTCAGATGATTTTCGAAACGCATGCCTGACCCTCCTGTTCCCCTGCTCCAAACTCCAAAAGGGTTCCCCACAGTTCCTGCCTCTCCTGTGACAGTGCCCCTGCCGAGACCAGAACTGGCCTGGTCCCTGCTCTCTGTCCCCTTCCTGGGGTGTGTCACTCCGCCAGGCAAGGAGGTCTCAGCCCTTCCTCAGGTCTACTGCCTCAGCCCCTACCACTCTCTCCTCTGCCCCTGCTGCAGGCTTCTCTGGCCTGGCTCGCCACCCCAACCCATGCTGCCCATTAGTAACCTCAAGCCCCAAGCCCAGGGGACTTTCTCTGTGCCACCGTCCAGTGAAAACATGCTGGTGCGCCCCCACAAGAGCAGCTCAGCAGCTGAGGAAGAAAACTGAGGGCATGTGAGCACTCGCTGGCTGTGTTGCCCGGCCTGGGGTGGGTCCCCCACTAAGAGAGAGAGGCCAGGAGGGCTTCAGGAGGCTATCGGGGACCCCCCCCCACCATACATCCACCATGGAAGAAAGGAAGCCAAGCAAGAACAAGAACGGGCCAAGACATACATGACCTGAGACAAAGAGGGGGAACCTCTTTTATTATGTATCCTGTCCATTTTGTTTGGGGGCCACACCGAGCAATGCTCAGCTCTGTGCTCAGGGCTCACTTGTGACAGGGCCCTAGGGACCATATGGGGTGCCGGGGATAGAACCCGGGTCAGTCACATGCAAGGCAGGCACCCTACCTGCTCCGGTCCCATTTTGACTTGTATAGCTAACTTTTCCAACTGAGTGACAGAAGTGTGGCTTATCTGTTGAAGGGGTTTTTAAAGACTGAAAAATAAAGGGAAAGGTAAGAAAGTTAATTGCCATCTAAATGACAAGAAACACCAACCAACAGTCCAACAGGAAAACAAGGCAGAAGATGCTGAAGAAAAAGGCTGGGATAAGCGTCTTGTCTGCGGGGCTCATTGTCGGGAGATGAAGGGGTAGGGTCCCAGCCCTTCCTGCGTGGAACACAGCAACCCACCAGGGGGGTCACAGGCCGTACTTACCACTCCACGATCTCTGGATGCAGAATGGTATTGTTGACATTGAACCTACGGAGGGAAAAGAAACCAAGCCTATTAGTTCAATGGTCTGGAACTTCCAGCCTAAGAGACGGTATTCAAGAAATAAATACCATGATACCAAGACGGATCCAGTATGTCCAGAGGGGTTAGAGAGAGAGTGGGTAAGTGGGAAAGGCACTTGCCTTACATGAGACTGACCTGGGTTCAATTCCAGGCACCACATATGGTTTCCTGAGCACCGCTGGATACAGCACAAAAATGAAAGAGTAAAAATTAAGAGGTGGGGGTGGTACACATTTCGCAACTACGGGGCCACATCAGGCCGAAGGCTCATTTCCTACAGCTAAAGTGGCAGCTGAGTCATGTCCTCTTAGTGTGATGACTTGGAGAACAAGTGACCTGGCTGCAGAACACAGCCAAGAATAGCCATTGTCCACCTTCGCAAAGCAGACTGCAGAAGGTTCTTCTGTCAAGCATTACAGCATGTGCATGATGGGAGTCTCAGAAGAAAAGAACAGAGAAAGAAACAGAAGAACTAGCAGGAAAAAAAAATAATAAAGGCTACAGAGTTAGCTGAGTTTATGAATACACTATAAATCTGCATGAACACCAAGCAGAATAAAGTCCATGAAACCCACCCCTTGGCATGTCATAGTCACACTGTCAAGTGTCAAACAGAAAATCTTGGAAGAGGCAAGAGGAAAGAGGAATCCATCACGTATAAGGAATCTTCAACAAGATTAATGGCCGATTTCTCATCAGAAACTACAGAGACTAGAAGATAAGACATATTAGGTCGACACCAATGAAAGGGGGGGAAAAAGCTGTCAATCAAGATTCTATATCCAGCAAAGCTAAACTTCAAAAATGGAGAAAACCAGATAAACAGAAATGAGAAAAATTCGTCACTAGACGGCCCATCTTACAAAACAATTAATTGATTAATTAATCTAATGAATCCTTCAGACTAAAATTAAGGGGTCTTGAAAGTAACCTGAATCCAACATGAAGCAAAAGGGGCCTAGTAATTACATCAGCATATACAACATCTGACATATAGAAACAAAAAAATGCCACAAAGGAGTTCATCTTTATTAGCAGATACTTCAGATATAAACTGATTAGATCACCAAGTAGAAGGCAGAGATTAAGAGAACAGTTGTTGTTGTTGTTGTTTTAATTATGAATCAACCTAATGCTTTAGATTGAAAGATACAAACAGGCTGAAAGTGACAGAATTGAAAAATATATTTGATATAAACAGAGAACAAAAGAGAACCTGGAATAACTAATATCAGACAAAAATAAGAACGGAGTCAATGGGGCCAGTGTGATAGTATAGCAGGTAAGGTGCTTGCTTTGCATGTGGCCTGACCCAGGTTTGATACCTTACACCCCACATGGTCTTGAGTGCAGAGCCAGGAGTATCACCCAGATGTGACTTCCCCCCGAAAGAATTTAGTCAATTTTTTACAAAACAGATATTTTCTATTAATGAAAAAAATCAATTCATGAAGAAGAGATAATAATATTATATATGCACCGAACAACAGAGGCCAAGATATAGAAATCAAAAGTTGACAAGGACCAGGAATGCAGCACAGTGGTAAAACTTATATGTGTTGCATTCAAGAGGCCCTTAAAATTCGTTCCCCCACACTGCAAAATAAAATAATGGTAATGATAATAACAGAATTGAAAACAAAATGGATAGTTCAGCAAGAGTTAAGGATTTCAACACTCCATTTGCAATAAAGATTAAAACTAGACAATTCAAGACTTGAACAACACTATATATCAACTTGTCCTAGTAAACACCTTGAGAGCATAACACTCAACAAAACAAATGCCTGCTTTCGTAAGTGCACTTGCTCTTCAGAAATGGGAAGTCAAAGTTGGGGGAGCGGTTCAAAAATTTTTATTTTTATTTTTATTTGGGGGGAGAGCGATAGCACAGCGGTAGGGTGTTTGCCTTGCACGCAGCCAACCTGGCAAACCCGAGTTCAATTCCTCCACCCTTCTCGGAGAGCCCAGCAAGCTCCCAAGAGTATCTCGCCCGCACAGCAAAGCCTGGCAAGCTACCTGTGACAGATTTGACATGCCAAACACAGTAATAACAAGTCTCATAATGGAGACGTTACTGGACCCGCTTGAGCAAATCAATGAACAACGGGATGACAGTGCTACAGTGCATACTTAACATCTAATGTGGGGGCGGGGGGTTGGAGGAGCCACGTTTAGTGGTGCTCAAGGAACATGTGCACAACAGCCTTTTGAGCTATCTTCCTGACCCCTCCGCACTCTACCCAGCGATGCTCAGGGGTTACTCCTGGTTCTGCACTCAAAGACTACTCCTGGTGGTGCTTGGGGGACTGTATGGGATACTAGGGATTGAACCTGGCTTGGCCGCATGCGAGGCAATCACCATACTGGCTGTACCATAGCCTCTGGCCCCTGAATTTTTTTTTTTATTTAATAAAATTTTTTGGGAGAGTCTTCTAAGCAGTACTCAGGAAGCCAAGGAGCCCTTCCCATCAATCCACAGCCCACTGGCTGGCAGTTCAAAGCAGTGGCCTGAGAATGCAGTGCTGTTCGGTCGGTGGTACTCAGGGACCACTAAATGCAGGGGAATGAACCAGGCATGCACCTCAACCCCTGTGCTGTCTCTGCAGGTCTCAGTTAACTTTTGCTACTGTGGTAAAATACATGAAACAAAATGTAACATCAGAACCACTTTCACACTTACAGTCCAGTGGCATTAAGAATAGTAACACCAACAACTATATCCAAAACTGTATCAACATCCCACAGTGAAACTACAAAGCCAATAACTCCCCTTTCCTCTTCCCCAGTCACTACTGGTAACCTTTTTCATTTTTGTTTTTTCACCCTTATTTTTCTTGGGGAAGGGGGGTGGGCTATACCTAGCAGTACTCAGGGCTTACTTCTGGTTTTGCAGGGATCACTCCTGGAGGGGTTCCAAGCTTCCTATATGGTACGAGGGACTGAGCTGGGGTCAACCTTCTGCTAGTCAGCCCACTACTGTTCTAGTTAAGCGTCTGTAAACTTTACTATTTGGGGGCCTCATATAGGTGGATCTATGAAATAATCTGTTCTTGGTCAACTAAATTTTGACAAGGGTGCCAAGAGAAATGAATTATCGGGAAAGCGTTGTTAGCAATTGGATATCCACATGAAAAAAGAATGAAGCTGGATCCCTATCTGTTAACCATATACAAAAACTGAACTCTTTCTCATGGCTCTGTGGCCATACATGGCAGTATTCAGACCTTTCTCCTGGCTCCAAGCTTGGCGATCGCTTATGGTGGGCTCTGCGTACCATATGGGGTGCCAGGGGTTGAACCCAGGTCAGCCGTATGAAAGGCAAACACCCTACCAGCTATACTATCTCTCTGGCCCCACTGATTTCAATGTGAGAGTTCAAAGTATGACTCTTAGAAGGAAGTGAGGCAGTAGATCCTTACAGCCTTTGGGTTCAACAGTGGTTTCTTCAGATGATGAAGCCTAATGCACAAGCAACCTAAGGCAAAAAAGATATACTGGACTTCACAGACACGAAAAGCCTCTGTACCGCACAGGACACTTCAACAGAGAGAGAAGACAATACACAAAACGGAGCAAATATCTCTGCACATTATCAAGATCTCGTATCCGGAAGATGTAACTGCACAATAAAGACAAATATCCCCCATTAGAACATGGACACAGGATCTAAGAAAACGCTTCTCCTAAGAGAGGCACAAATGGCATATGGGCACAAGAAAAGATGCACAACATAATTAGCCATCAAGAAAATGAAAATAAACCCACAATGAGACAGTGCTTCATACTCACTTACAGGACCTTAATTAAAAAAAGACAGATAACAACAAGTGCTGATGAGGCCGTGGAGAAGTCAGACTGTCATACATCACCAGAGAAATGCGTGCAATGGAGTCACCTTGGGAGAGAGTTGACAATTCCTCAAAAAGCTAAAAGACAGTGGCTGGCGTGATAATACAGCAGGTAGGACACAGCCTACACATTTCCTTGCACATGGCTGACCCGGATTCAATCCCTGGCATCCCATATGATCCCCCAAGCTCCCCAGGAGTAATCCCTGAGTGCAGAGTCAGCAATCAACCCTGAGCACTGCCTGTTCTTGCCAAAAATAAAAATTAAAAAAATAAGAAAGTTAAAGACAGCTATCAGGTGACTCGGAAATTCTATTCTTCACTCTATTCTTCCGTATAAAATATCAGATAGCTCGCCTTGCACGAGGCCAACCTGGGTTTGGTCCCCAACACTACGCATGGTCCCCCAACCCCACCCAAGAATGGTCCCTGATCACAGGACCAGGAATTAAGTCCTGAGCACAGAGAGGTGTGGTGTCCACCCCAAACCCCCAACAAAATATGAGCACACGCAAACTTTCAAGAGCCGTAGCATCATTGCTCTTCACTACTCTTCACAGTTGAAAGGTGGAAGAAACCCAAGTATCCAATCATTGGATTATGATGCCATCATAAAGGCAGAGGACTGGTTTCCAGCCCTAATCCGATCCACGGCCTGCTTCCTCCGACACCATGGATGAACTGTGAACAACGGTGCTAAGCCGAAGAAGTCACACACAACAGGCCATGTCACATGATTCTTTCTCCATGGAACGTGAGAGCAGGCGTCTCCACAGAGAAAGCGGGTGCCCCGCAGGGCGCGAGCAAGCAGACAGCCAGCCGCTGACAGGTACATGGCGGCTTTCTGGGGACCAACAACACTGCACCGCAGACTGTGATGGTGGCTGTGCTGATCTGGAAATGCACAAAAGCCATTTGGGGTCCCAAGAAATTCCACGTGCGACTCACATCCTAATAAAACTGCTTCCGACAAGGTGTCAGTGAATGGTGCTCAGGATGGACTGAACTGAATGCACGCTTTTATTTCAGCAGCTGATCTGTTAGAAACTCTAAGAAGAGAAAGGGGAAATGGATCAATTCACAAGCATGGTTTGTGATTTCCTCATACCTCTG